AATAGTTTAGCCTGTCGGTAGTGTATGATGTTGCCACAGTATCCCCCTCCAGACTGGGCGATCGCTTATGATCGTAAGTCCTGTGTAACGAAGATTACTTTACGACGTTCTTGCCCAGTTGATATGGTTTGACGGATCGGTGGCGATAAATCCTCATACGGGAGGTATGCTGGTTTTAATCGATCTATGGAAATGCTTTCTGGTTTGCCTTTTATTGCAATCTCCGCGCGAGATAAAACTGTGCACGGTCCTTCATAAGGTTTCGAAAATGATGGATGAACTGAATCGCTTCTTACGAAGACATTTGGGCAAGTCGCAAGGTCGGGATGCACAAATACTTTCCTCTGTCCATGCCATGCTGTCTTCGATGGTCTGATTGTGTTCATTACGTCTCTGAGTTGGGTAACGAACTCTGTTTGCGTTTTAAGTCGGCTGTCGTGTATGAAAAATTCTGAAGGAATTCACAATGTCGTACCGTAAATTAGTTCGGCCGGTGATGTTCCTAAGTCTTGCTTGTAGACGGTTCGTAAGCCTAGGAGTATAGTAGGCAGGAAGTCAGTCCAACGTTCTGACTTGATGCATAAAATTGATAATTTTAAGGTTCGATGCCATCTTTCTACTATTCCGTTTGCCTGTGGATGATACAATGTTGTCTTCAGATGCGTTATGCCGAGCGAGCTTGTCACCTCTGTAAATAGGTTGGATGTGAATTGACGACCTCGATCTGATGTAATAACGGCTGGAACTCCGAATCTTGCAATCCAATTAACGATTGAAGCGTTTGCGATGGTTGGCGCCATCATGTCGGGTATGGGAATCGCCTCTGGCTATCTTGAGAAACGTTCAATGATTGTGAGACAGTAGCGGTTACCGACGTGTAAAGGAAAGGGACCTACGACGTCGACGTTAATATGATTGAATCGCGTGTCTCCCGATTCGTAGCGTTTAAGGGACGGAAATGTGTGTCGAGTTATTTTAGCTCTTTGGCATTGCTCGCATGCTCTTGCGAAAGCTACACTGTCTTTTTGGATTCCAGGCCAAACGAATCTGCTGGTTAGGAGTTTGGCTGTAGCACGTGTACCTGGATGGCATAGCCCATGAGTTGTTCGTAACAACTCAGAACTAAACTCCTTTGTAATGAATGGTCTAATGTTGCCAGTTGACGAGTCGCAGACTATTTGTTTGTCGCATCCGGGTATTGTGAATAATTTTCGCTGAAGAGATGAATTACTGTTGTTCTGGCGAAGGAGTTTGAGCTCTTGATCAACTTGCTGGACTTCGGCAAGTTTGTAGTTGTCTATGTTAGTTGCGTGAATTTGTGCTATTCTTGAAAGCATGTCAGCTGTTAGATTGGCTTTAGGCGAGCTGCACGACTCGTACATTTTTCAGGATTCGACTGGAATGCATTAATTAGTGGCTTATGATCGCTATATATGTGACAGGTTCGTCCTTCCATCATGTATTTAAAATGGCGGACGGCCATAAACATCGCTGTGAGTTCTCTGTCATAAGTGCTGTAACGTACCTAAGTTTTGTCGAATTTTTTGGAGAAGTATGCTAACGCTTCAAAGTTGCTTCCTGTTACCTGGTGCAAAATAGCTCCTGCGGCTGTATCCGAGTCGTCGACCCATAGTGACATCTCGGCGTTTTTTGAGGGATGTGCCAAAAGAGAGGCATTCGCAAGCTGGGTTTTACATTTTTCAAACGCTTCTGTCGTAATATCAGTCCATTTGAGCTGAGAGCGATCGTTCTTTTTGTTTCCAGGGCACATGGCTAACAGCGGTATTTGCGTTTCGATGGCGTGTGGAATAAATCGTCTGTAGAAGTTAATTGTGGCTAAGAATCGCTTGAGGCCATTGACGGTAGTTGGTTTTTCGAGATCAATAAAAGCTTGTACACGATGCCTTAGTGGTCTTATTCCATCTGCTGAGACAGTATGACCTAAAGAGATGATTTCCGTTTTTCCGAAGACAGACTTGGTAGCATTGATCCTTAAATTGTGCTTCTGTAGACGTTCAAAAAGTCGGCGAAGGTGTAATACATGTTCGTCTAGAGATGATGATGCTACACAGATATCGTCCATTTACGGAAATACAAAATCTAGTCCTCGTAGGACTTCGTGTATAAGCCTTTGTAATGTCTGCGCTGCATTACGAAGACCAAAGGGCATATACAAAAATTCGAATAGGCCGAAAGGTGTGATGATAGCCGTTTTCGGTACGTCTTCTGGATTTACAAGAACTTGAAAAGGATCGTCTTACCTCTTAAATTGCTAGTGAAATCCTGTAGATATGGTATTGATAGAGTGCTCAGAAATCTCCACATGGCTGCCATGTACCGTCTGCTTTCTTTACCATGTGAAGAGGGCTAGCCCAACTGCTGCTCGATGGACGGCAAATGCCCAGTTTTATTAGACTGTCGATTTCTGCCTTAGCTGCTGCCAGTTTATCTGGAGAAAGACGTCTTGGTCGTGCTGATAAGGGCGGACCGCGAGTTTCGATGTGATGGACCATTTCGGACATAGCTGGGCTTCCGAGTTGCGCCAACCGTGTTATGTTACCAAACTCTTTAAGTAAGCTCGTATATTCGCAGGACCTGTCAAATGTTTTTACTGATAAGGCTTCGCTACTGACAAGTTTTCCTATCGACGCTACTGATGTTAAGTTGTCGGCTAATCGTTTCCTTTTTAAGTCGGCCAGTAGCCTATAAAGTCGGCTCCTATAATTCCGCACGTAACGTCAGCGATGAGAAAATTCCAAAGGAATTCGCGTCTTAGGCCTAAATCGATTTTAAGGAGGAATTCGCCGTATACGGTGATCGGTGTACCGTTCGCTGCGTATAACTTTACCGTCATTGATTTCATATTGTTTTGGACGATTTTAGGAATTATGGAGGCGTCTGCTCCGGTGTCTATCAAAAAATTATGTTTGGAGAGCCCGTCAAAAAGTTTCAGGCGGTGTGTGACTGCAGGACGTAAGTTACAGGTGTGCGTTGCAGTGTTCGATGCAGATAGTCATTTGCTTTTCTCCAGGTTGTTGTGCTAGCCACTCGTCGCATATCTTTGAAAAGTTAGCTTGGCTTAAACTCACCCAAGTGCATATCCGGAAGAACACGTTCCACGCGACGTTGTTGGCTGTCAGCAAAATGTGCTATTGGTTTGGATTTAATGTACTCGTAGCGGTTAAGCGAAGGTGCTGAATCGATGACTGATCTTAACTCCTTTAGCTTGCTTGAAGGAACTTGTACCATGAAAAGGTTGTATATCCTTGTGTCGTATGTCACACCGGTAGCTGCGAACCAGAACTCCAATGACAAAAAATACGACTCGATCGTTGTTTCGTTCATATTGGGTGCGCTTATGCGTAGTACCATAGCTGTGTCCACGTGGAATTCGGGCTGATGCACCTCGATTGATGATTAGACAAAATGCTTTGCGGTTGCACTGCTTGTCGAACGTTAGGGGGTGACGATGTTTGCGCATTATTTTCACCTTGTTGCGCCATCTGAAATTTTTCTTTGAATCGTCGGGGTCATCAGTTTTAAAGGTTTGCTGCTGCTAGCACGTCTGATCAGCTCGATGTCCGTGAGAAAACGAAAGAATTGCAGGATGAAGGAGAATGGGGTTGCTTATGGCTTTAAATACAAAAATGTAGTAAAGGGTTGCCGGTCGGTAGTGTTGTGCGTTTTGACGGTCGGTAACATAGTACAACCAGAGAACGTAAAAGAAGACTTGTTTTAAGTTCTCTGGTACAACATAGTTTAGCCTGTCGGTGGTGTATGATGTTGTCACATAAGTATATATAACCCTTTACCTAACTCGATTAGTTTAGGTGATACAAACTATTATACTCTGTAGAAACGTGTTGAGAGAGTATAAAAAATCGATAACTAAGAAAAACCGTCCCGGATTTTGCTGAGGCAAATATGGTCATCTAAGTCTAAACCGAAATTCGATACATATTCAACACTTAATCACATTATTTAAAAAAAAAATCTACTTAACTTTATTGAAGTATCACTCACACATTTTTGGAGTCACGCTATAAAAGATCCAATCTTATACGTTTACCTAATATACATTTTACTTATTGACCGAACAAACGCTATAAATGCAACCATTAGGTAAGTGGTGCTAGGATCCATATTGACCGGTTTACAAGGTATAAAGTCAAAAGGAAGTAGAAAAATCTTTCTATAGGTATATAGGATAGTATTGAACCGTTATTATCCATATTTGTCATTACGACATACTATTTTTAGAAAAATATGCTCTCTTTCAGTATAACTTTCGGTAAAAGTCGATCCGATATCTGGAGATTTAAGAAGTTATGTTCCGATTTCCACAATTTTTCAAAGAGAGATTGCATACCTTTAAATACACGACGCTTACAAAATTGTATGGTATTTCCATAAAGTAATTAGCTCTCGATTTCCATACCGTAAAGTGAAAAATCATATAGAATTTAAAATTTTGTTATTGGGTTGTTGGCTATGGCAATGGTGCAATCTGCGAAAAAATTTTTTAGATCGAATTATTATAGCATGTAGCTGCCATACAAACTGAATCATCGCAATCATTGAAAGATTTTTCATTTGACGGGATATCTTCACAAAATTTTGCATGAGTTATTGTCAATGGTGCAACTTTTGAAAAAATTAAATTGAGGAATGTTTTGTATTTGTGGAGCGTATTATAGCTTCAATGCAACCGAAGTTAACGATTTTTCTCGTCCCGTCATCCTGATCATTCATATAGTTATAACGCTATATTTATCTCGATTAGTTGCTGACGTAACAAACAAACGTTAGGTGAACCAAACTATTATATGTACTTTGTAGAAACATATTGCGAGAGTATAAAAATCAAATATGTAAAGACAAAACATCAGTAAATACATTTATTTTTTTAGTGAAAAAAGTCATAACATTATTGTGCTTTTGAGTTTTTAAACTTTCTGCATTTATAATATTTGTATTAATGTAATTATGTTATTTCTTAGAAAATTACCAGTGAATCTACTAAAACGAATACATTATCGATGCAACGCTAATATCGAAGTACAAGGCCACGATTACGAGAAAAGCGATCTTCCCCCGAGATTTGTAAGAGTATTGCCACCTTCTAAATATGGCGGTGAATATTTTGTAACCCTACTAACGGGTTCTTCGAACATCGGCAAGCAAGGCGCACATTTCATCAAACATCTATTCGAGGTAGCCAAAGTTCCAGTGAAATTCGAAAGAATTGAACTGGGACCGGATGAAAATGAGTATCCCAAAGAATATCTGCAGTCAGTGCAACGCAATCGTCATGCAATACATGTTGACCTACAGCACGATCCCGACGAGAAACACAAACAACTGCTGCTCAACAACGATCTGGATTTGTATGTGGGTATAATACATGTGAATTCGATCGAGGGATACAAATGTAAATACCCAGATGTGGATATAACAATATTGATGCAGAATAACGCCGGTAACTTCTCGAAATTGGAATACACACCGGTGCCGGGTATGGTGGAGACATTGAAAATTGTGCAGCAACGATATATTAAACGCTATTTCAACTTCGTGTTCCATTATGCCATCGAACATTGCCATGAGAAGGTCACTTTTGGTCACCAAGCAGTGGAATTTCCTCTCTCTGACGGAATGTATAATAAGATTGCCTTGGAAATGTATAATGAAATTAAGCCAAATTTTGAATTTGAATTAATCCCGATTCATGACTTGGTGCGTAGTATTGTCATGAAACCTAAACACTTCGACATAATCTGTACCACCGACCGATATGGAACCTTTGTCGCTTCTATTGCAAGTGCAGTTTGTGGGGGCGCCAGTTTGTTTAGTTCTACTGAGCGTGGCGACCATCATGCTGTCTTCAAGCCTTTGCAGACCCGTCTGTCCGTAACTCACTCCAATGTGCTTAGTCCTTATGGAATTGTACGCGCTTGCATAGATTTATTAAATTATTTGGGTGAAAAGGATTGCGCCCAAGTATTATACAACGAACTGATGACGACGATGATTTGTCGCGATATCAGAACGAGAGAGTTCGGTGGCTCAGACTCGGGCGAATATGTTGTTTGCGATATTGTTAATCGATTGAAATGCAAACACTATTGACCGAGAGCATGTACTTTTATCGAGCTGACATTAAAGATTTTTGGAAACATCATTTAATATTAAAAAAAAAATGTTATTTTGATTGTATAAAATTAGTAATAATGTAATGATATAGATTTATACCCATCCAAAAGCAAAGCAAAATTAACGAAATTCTTAATTACATGCATTTTAGATAATTTACGTAGTTAATGAGACGGTCATATATATTATGAGACTGTTCGAAAGACTTTTTACACTTCAAAATATTTCTATTGAAGTCAATGCATTTATCCAATGCAACATAATCTTCTATGTCCTCTTTGTTAGCTACCTCTTAATACTCCCTCCAAAGAATTTCCTATTTGTGACAGCATTTGTAACTTATCAAGGCTAAATCTCAGTAGTGTTAACAACCAAAAGCTAACAACGATAAAATGCATCAATGTATTCTCCGTGAAATTTTTCAGATCAGATTACTATAGCATATAACTGCCATACAAACCGAACGATCGGAATCAAGTGATTGCATGGAAAACTTTTTTTTTTTTGACGAGGTATCATTACGAAATTATATTGGAATCAAGTTTTTTAAGGAACATTTGTATATGTTAAGGGTGTTATATAGGGTGATCCATTTCGAGGATCCCTACTTTTTTAAAGAAAATAAACACCAAAAATTCAAATTTAATGGGAAATGTTAATTATCATACGAAATAGCATTTTTGGCATTTTTTCTTTGAAGATTATTTCTTTCAAATGTTGGCCGCGGCTACGACTTGTTCGAGCATTTTGACTGGTAGCTGGCAAATGACACGCGTGATGTTTGGTTATACGCCTGAATCGAAGCTGGATTGTCCGCATAGACTTTAGACTTTACATATCCCCACAGTAAAAAGTCTAACGGTATAATATCACACGATCTTGGTGGACAATCGACCGGCCCAAAACGTGAAATTATTTGCTCACTGAAGTGTGCTCTCAACGTCTTGTTGAAACCAAATGGTGCCGAGGTCACGAGCTTCAATTGCAGGCATCAAATAGTCGGTTATCATGGCGCGATAACGTTCGTCATTGATGGTTACTTTCTCACCGTCATCATTTTTGAAGAAATATAGACCGATGAATCCACCGCCTACAAACTACACCAAACCGTTGCCTTTTCTGGATGAAATGGCAGCTCTTGAATTTCTTTGGCTCTACGGATCTTGAAAACAGCCCATAGAGCGAAGCAATGGCGCTTGGGAAGGTCGAGTGGCTCCAGTTCTTGCACAAACTGTATTTTGTACACTTTCAATTTAAGATTTCGACGTAAAATGCGCCAAGTCATTCCATACGTCAATCCGAGTTGCTGCGAACGGTGCCGAATAGACTCTCCACGGTCTTTGTGTACACTCTCAGCTACGGCCGCTATATTTTCTTCACAGCGTGCTGGACGTGGTCTATTCGGTCGAATATTATCCAACAATGAATGCTGGGCCTCAAGATGGGTGCTGACGTTGCGAATAGTATGCGCAGTAGGGCGATTATGTTGACCATAAGTTGAGCGAAGTGCGTTTTTACAGAACGTGAATTTTCGTTATAAATTTGAACGATTTATAAACGTTGTTCAGGCGTAAGTCTTTCCATGATGAAATGACAAACAATACTGAATAAAAGTAACATGACACAAAAAGTATTTCAACTTGAATCACCCATTACTTTACATAGTGAGTAACCAATTGATAAGTGTGGTTATGTAAAAGTTTTTATAGTATAATATTTTCGCATTTACATACCTACATATATAATATGAAGTATTAATTAATTATGAATAATTTTTATATTTTTGTATTTCTCTTATTGCAATTTGTACTTGTTTTTATACTCTCGCAATATGTTTCAACTGAGTATAATAGAGCACCTAACAGTTGCTTGAAACAAACAAAACTAGTCGAGATAGGTATAGAGGTGTATCCATACACATATATGTAAGTATGTATAAAAATAATCAGGATGACGAGACGAGTTAAAATCTGGATAACTGTCTGCTGAAGTATAGAGGAGTTCAGTTTCTGTTTTTTTTTTTTATTTTAATTGGGCGTAGCCCAGCCCCTAACCCTTTAGCCGCGTACCTAAACCAACTATCTGAAAAAAAAATTTTATTGATACTCTGGCTTAAAATACCTCAATTAAGTTTCAAAAAAAGCTTTACCCGGGTTTAGCTCTCCATCTTCATCCGGTCATGAGATATAGAAAGTGGCTTATAAGCAACTTTATGCGTTTATAGCAGTTTTTGAGAGATATAAATATCTGCAAAGAAAATTATATAAGTATATATACAATATATACAAGAGGTTTATTTTTATTTATCACATACATATATATGTTTTGTATTTTCAGTGCGATAAGATAAAAAACAGTTTTTGTGTGTATTGCAACATAGATGAACACCACATTTTACGCATTTTTAAAGAGGTGTTCCGGTTTTACAAAGACGGCATCTTCCTTTCTCTCCCTAAAGTATCCAATGGCCATTTTCTTCATATCGCTTTGAGTTAAGGGCGTCCTCAACAACATGATGGAGTTTCGAAGTAGACGCTTCTGAGGAAAAAGTTGAAGCCAGATTTGAGTCGGTTTCTACATTTTGCATAACACTAGGACGTCCTCCCTTCTTTAAAGTAGAAATGGAAATCATCGGCGTAACGCCTTAGAGCTCAGTTGCGATATCCATGCTTGACCTGTGGCACATGCTTGGCGTTTTGATTAACGAGTTTGAGATGTTTCACTTTATACAGCTCCATAAGCATGTCGGCAGGATCAACCCCTCCCATGTGTTGCTTATATTTGGAAACAAACCCGGTCTCAGAACTTCAACAATTTTTTTTTCTTTCCCACTCCAAAGTTTACATATCCCCATTGGTTCATTTTTATCATCAAATGTGAACAGTAATTTACTTGACTTTTTATCCAGCCAGCGCACTGCGGCAATGCCAAGATTAGCTTCATATTTCATATCATACGATCCCCTGCAAAGCTTTCTCAAATTTGACTCAGACTTTCCCATTCAACTTTTTCGGACAGTCCCGGTGCAAAATATTCCCATTTCTAAAAGCAAAATATTCCCATTTCTAAAAGCCAGGGCTTACAGATGTCAACCAATTATCAAAATAAAATTTGTAATTTTTAATTTTTGGTACTGCGGATGCCAGGTATAACACAATGTCCGATGATATGCCGAGTCCATGTGAAGGGCAAAGTCCATCACCAACGTAGAGCGCAAAGACATACATAAATAATTCGTGACGAGTCTGCCCGCGTGAACATTTTCATCCCCCATTTGTGGGGCTTAGCGGGTTGTACTGTTTTAAGATGATCTTCCTGAAATATGCAATTAACCTGACAACCGAAAGCTTTTCTTTATTGTTTTTGCACATCTCTGGAGATAGGTTGTTGCATTTTTTCTTTGAGCAACGATAATAGTGGACGAATTTTTTACAGTCATAAGTAATATCACTTTTAGATGTGTTTAAAAGTGGATAATTTTCTTTATTTTCTTAAATTTATTTCGCGACATCAAATAATTTATTGCGGTTAATTCCAGCTCTTGGGACTATGTCATTCTAAAACTCAGCAGCTGGACTAATGCTATGTTTGCACCGACACGAAATTCGTGTTTTCATCGACAAAAGAGGTTTTCACGCGAAAACTTGTGTTTTCATCCATACACAGTTTTCGCTGAAAACCCCTTGAAAACTTACATTAACGCATTATAATCGGTGCCTGCTCTAGTTTAATCGATATTATTGGAAGACATATTTCGCCAGCCCTAAATGTCACTTGACCATTTGTTTACATTCTGGGAATTTGTTTACATTCAAATGGAGAACAAAGTCTATAAAAACGGATTTCGTGGAGTGTGAGGGGAGAAGCGCTACTAATAGAATTATGGGAAGAAAAAGTTGGTGCGCTTCGAGGGCCAAGAAAAAATAGCCACATTTTGGAGGAAATGGAGCTGCAGCAGCAAGGTGTCACATTCACGGCGGCAGAAATCAAAATGAAGATGCACAATCTGTCGCAAAGATTTAGGTAAATAAAATTGAGTAAATATTAACGCGTTATATGTTATTATGTTTTATAGGAAGGAGAAAATAGCAGTCGGTTCAACTGGCGGTTCCCCCTCGCATTGGCCTTTATTTAAAAAAATGAGCGCAATACTGTCGTCATATAAAAGTTACCTCACAGAGGGCTTAGTGGAGGAAAGTAAGAGACATGTGTTTTTTTATTGAATATATTATTTATATTTACATATACATAAGTATATACATTTTTAAAAAGGTCCTACGAACTCCGAACCGATGGAAATTTCGGTGGAAACGGCTGCGTGTTCAACATTTGTTGTTGAATCTCCACTGCCATAACCTGTTTGCACTCCTTCGCCCTCAGCGATGATAATGTCACCAACCGAGTCGTCACCCGAGCCGATAGATTCTACAAAAAGGAGAAGCAATAATTTTCAAAGTTTAATAATAAAAAAAATGGAAAATATTAAAGAAGAATTTCCCGAAATTGATTTTTGCGTTGCTGGAATTATTGATATTTAATTGAAGTTTTCCTTCAGTAGAAACCTATACAAACCTTTGTCCAACATGATTTAATCGGCATCCCAAGGGCCTTTATTATACATAACAGAATTAACTGTTTTTTGTTCAAGTCTGCTATTTCTTTTTAAGGCAAATGTGCTAGGTACTAAGAACTTCTATCGATTCTCTTAAATAATCGTCGTTGCTCAAGAAATGTATTTGGCTTCTAAAAGCCAATAATTTCGTAATTAAATTTTTCTTCTCGGAATTCTATAAAACAAACAATAATAATTGTAAGCAAATATTTAAAGTTCTAAAACTTACCATTCTCGTTGGCCTAAACGTACGTGACTAATCTAAACAAATAAATGTGTGAACTGTCAATGAAAACTCATCGAAAACACAAAATGTCGGTGCGAACGACTTCGGTTCCACAATCCACAAGTTGTGTTTTCAAGAGGTTTTCAATTTGGTGCGAACATAGTATAAGACGCGGACTATTGGACGGCGTACATATATGTATGTATATTGCTCTGTAGCACAATCAATTTTATCACTGAATCATCAAAAAATATGTTGAAATATTGGATTGGCTTATTTACTATGCTAATGTCTTCTTCGTACTTTTCCAAGTAGCGTCTTGAATGTCGATTGGTCCTTTTACCCTTTTCATTTGGGATACATCAACTTTTTTAACAATAATAGTTAACCGATCTCTAATTCTTCACCACTTTCTAAAATATATTTAAAACCTTTCTCCAGAAGCGCTAATATCCGCTCCTAACTTTAACACTCTTATTATCATAAGACTCTGATAAAGACAATATAAAACAAACCTAAGAAGGAATCGAAAGGAATGCAATTAAAACTTTAAGTAAACAAATTGAAGACGCGCAATAAAGAACAAAAAGATGCACAAACTACGTGACATAAAACACAAAAAACACAAATCAGGTTAATCTTTATTAATTTCATAAGATAAAATAATTACTTTTAACCTCAAAATCCATTAAAAGTACTAATTTGAAGTGCGCTCTTTACTCGAAACATTTCACCAAAGCTCGGATGAGCTTTAAAAATGAACAGGTGTTAATGCTTTTAATTCGATTTTTTTAGAAAGTATCGTTAAATTTTCAGCGAAACCCGGTTTGCAAATAAGAAGATTCGACAAATTCTGAGATTGATTTTTTCATTTTAGGTCTATGGATGGAACCACTGTGGAATGTCACGAAAAAACTGGGAAAGCTATTGCCGCTTTAATTTGCAAAACATTGGAAAATTATAGCATTCGTTTGGAAGATGATAATATGAGCGGTAAATATGAAGGAGCACTTAAGCACATCTAACGTAAAAATAAGTATGCAGTTCTTTCGCCCTGTGGTGTCCACACACTGAATATGCCAAGTCTTTTTGCGAAAAATCTGCCCGGATAATTAAATGCTTTGAAAGAAGTTAAAAAAAAACTCAACCTTATGGCAGAAACTCGACAAGACGTTGATGGAATTTTGAAATTTATTAGCAAATTTTACTACATTTTGATGGCTTCCATATGGATTGAAATCAGTAAATCAATGAAAGAAACTGGGAAATATAGAAAACCTTCTTGTAGATTTGCAATTTCTGCGCGACCAGTGGAATGCAATTTATAATAAATACAAAAATGTTGCAGATAATTTAAAAAATGTCGCGAGGATTTTACCATCAGCAAGAAAACAAAAACACGCACACGGCCTATATGAAGAAGTGGATGAAAATTGCAGTAAAAAGAAATTGAATTCAAAAGAAACATTTTCTACGTCATACTTGACATTGTTATCTGTGGAATGAAGAGAAGATTCGCCGCATAAACGACATTAACGAATCGTTCTCATTTCTATTGGCCATGATATGAAAGACGGTGGACTCAACGCAATTGCAACTTTTTTTTTTTGTAAGTATTTCGTTGATGTATCTGATAAATTGTCCACCTCAGACAAGTTTACGATGCAAAATTTTAAACCCTTATTGAATGCCGTTTCTGTTTCAATTGGTAACGTCTGAGTGTTTAGATGTTTCTGTTCTCCTATTAACTGCCAAGTCTTGCTACCCTATATTCATATATTCCAGTGTAATCTGAAAAAAAATATTTTTTAACTTAAAGTGTATGTATGAACTGATTTAAACATTATTGATTTTCAAAATCGTACAAAAGAAATTTGTTCCACCCAAAATCAACAAGAAAGCAAATTTAATACAGATGTGATGAAAGAATAAATATAATATGAAGTAGTATTTTCTATAAAACATTATAGTAGGAAGTGGGAAGATAGTTAATAAAATATATAAAGTATTAGAAACATTCCTGTAGGAAGGGTCCCCCACATTTTTTTACTCCTGGGCCCGGCTTTTCTCTCGGCGCCCCTGATCATAACCATGCCTAGTCCACAAATCATAATTTTAAATTTTCTCTGCTTCTTTCACTTTACCGTATATAAGTCACGCCAGTAAAACTATCGATTTAAAACCTTATACAAATAGTGGGTGTAATCATTCATTTCGCATCGAAATCGAACTCGATACGGAAAGAATTTTCGATCAACGCTTCGTCTTCTCGTTGCAGCTGATATTGTTAGCCGTTTATATGTGTGAGTTCAGAAGAAACTTAAATCTACTTAACTCGTTGCCCTGTATCGATCGCCTGAATAAGTAGTATTAAACAAAATACTAGCCGATAAATGATTACTCTTCAAAGCTGCAGACAAATACAACAAACCTCCACAAGTTTTGTATTAGAGACCGGAGCATGTTTCCATTGGTATCGCAATGCGACAAGTTTTACCCTTTTACTTGACAACTTATGCTTTACCGATCCTGTGGTGGTTTTCTGTTTTATAGTCCACGCATTTACTATTTTTTTTCTATATCAACTTCAACAGGAAAATAGATTTTATCGGCCAAACGCTTATCGGTATCGAAATCCTCCTGTTCCTCTTCTCCATCTCCAGCAATGTCACTGAAATCATCGTCATTCAGAATAGTCTCTATGTCATCATCGCCTATCATTTGTTTTGAATAACACGGTTTTTCAGCTGCAATATCTATTCACTTTAAACGAGACTTTATACAAAAATTACACGAGAACATTACACTTTCATACTAAATACTGTGCATTTTTTCCGCATATTACTAACTATACGTAAATTATACGTACTCGATTTTTTCACTTATTACTAATTTTACGTAGAGGGGTTTGCTGCAATCGCTCTTACAACTTCAACTGACCACATGTACTGTACTTTTACATTCATGTTTGTATATACAAATTTTTAATTTTTTACCATTTTCTTTTTAATTGCAGACTTAAAATCGGTCTAAGCCTAAAAGTAAACCAATATTAACCGATAATATAAATTCGTGATAATTTTTCGTACCTTTTTGCATTTTTGTGAAAATCCCTTCCCCTCTGTGCTTCCCATTAATTTTTGTTAATGTGTTTACACATTTAAATATACATAGGTAATTAAGTGCGTCCTTAGCAATTTTTTCAGATAAATACTTAAAAATGCACCATTTTTTTTAATTTCCGCAATTTACTCATCAACGAATAGATTTCGACAAATATTCCCGATTTTGCGGATTCATTGATATCTAAATTAGCGCCATATATTAGCCACGGCATATTTTATCGTATCGGTAAGTGAGTTCAACTTAATCGAAAATTTTATCGAATCGGCAAGTTTTCGATCGAAACGGATTGAATGAATGGACTCAGTACCTTTAAGATATACGTCCAGAAAACCTTGGTACCGGATATCTGAACGCCAGTGCCTATGACCGACTTTTTACCGAAAATATTGGTTAATAGTTGACATACACTGCATCAAAAAATTGTAAATACAATATCTATTTTAGAATGAAAAGTATGATATCAATGGCAATAATGAATAGAACCGAAAATACTTTTCCATAATTAATTATCATATTTTAGGGGTAATAATGAACTAAAAAAACTTCAATATTTTCTAACTGTTTTCTTTCTAACTTGACTAAACTTTCAAATTATGCTCAAATACATACGTACATTAAGAATTTACCCCAGAAATATTTCCTTGCGTAGTTTAAGAGTAAACACCTCGAGTTAGTCAGCTAAAGGAACTAGAAAGTGCCTATTGATATAAAAAAACTTATTTCTAAGTGAAAACTCGAGAGAAAAAGGTGTGGTGAAATATCTACAATAGTTGACCGACTACGTTATACCTGTAGTGCCAAAGAGTAGAGGACGCCAAAACCAAACCTGGTGTATTATATGTTTTCGGGGTCGTTGAGAACAAATCCGAAGTCCATTTCGTCCCATCACGACATGAATTTTTTCTAATCTCAAAAAACAAGGTGGATTTTGATTGGCAAACTCAACTTTTTAAACTTTTTTCAATATTGAAGAATTTGCTTGCGAATCTGACCTTAGATTTTGAAATTTCAAAATGGCGGATCCAATATGACGGACAAAAATTGATCGGACTCGCTTGAAACTTCTTACTCGGCGGTTAATAATACATTTTGTGATGAGTATTAGTTTCAGATCATAAAGTAAGAATTAAATTGTGAGTAAAATTTGTGTGCTCTTAATTAGAATTAGAATTACCATTATCATTATTTGACGATATACTAGTAAGCCCTTGACAGTGAGGGCCACCAGTCGCTCATTTATTTTAGAAATATAAAAACAGAAATTGCATTTTATTCGGTTAAAGTGAAATCAAATGTGATTATTAACACTCTTATCTAATTCATTTGATTTATTTAAGATAAATTAGAGTAAAATTCACTAAATATTCAAAATAGTATAAAACAAAAAGGTTTTTTTTTAACATTTAACATTTATTATATGTACAACATTTTCTAGGCTCTCAGGGGATAAGTTGTATCTTAAATCGCTTAATTTAATTTTTAAAGCTGAAAAGGATCTTTAGACGCTTGTGTAGCAGGCACGGCGTGAATGGCCTTAGCTAATTGATACAAATTAGAAAATGCATACATATGTATTTTTTATTGTGTCAATATTTTATAATATCCATATCGATAATAACCGCTTTTAGATTGTAATTTTCGATTTCCGATAAAGCTTTTTGCAACTCATCTTCAATATTTTCATCACATTCTTCATCAAAGAAAGACGCACAATTGAGTTCAAATGTTGTCTCAGCAGCGAAGCTGTATTTGCAAAAGTTGTAGTTTGTAGTGTATTTGGAAGGTTTGGTGTCGAAGCAGAAGTTTCACTGTCATGCTGATTAATAATTTAATTTTAATAATATAGAATTACTTCAATGTAAACAATGACGAAACGAAAATTTCTAATTTGCCGGTACAATTACCTTCTTATATCAGTAAATTTTTCGGATAAGTGTAAAGCGGCTAGGGCCATAACGTTGTTCATTATAGGAGTTTCTTGTTTATTTTAACTGAAAGTTTTAATTCCAGCCAAATTTTGATAAAGTCTCCCAAAAAAAGTCACTGTGCTCAGTTTTCACATGGCGTTTAAAATTGGTGGCATAATTATTAAAAAAAAATTTTTTTACAAAATTTTACACATTGATTCACCGATCTCAAATAGAAATAAGTTTCGGACTTCCAATTGACGCGAACGCCCCTTTATTAAAACTTTATATATTTAGGAAACCGAACTTTGCAAACGCAGCTCGTCACTTGTGTAACTGTAAATTTATAAATATAGTTAAAAAAAAACACGCTTTTGGAGCACTTCAAACAATTAAGTGAAAAAAAGGTCGTATTGTATATAAACTGACAGAAATATTGACCGAAAAAACTTGTAATATTGTCCCTTGAAATTTGTTGATTCTTTTGTCACAGTGTCATTTAAAAAAAAAGAGTTACAAACATTCAAACATGCAAACAACCATTTGTACATACACACATACATACATATACTAAATCGGGATTTCCATTAGGGACGATGTGATTTCAAAGTGTTGTTTCGACCATTTTTAATATGTCATGATCTGTATTTTTTGTCATTGCATTGTGTAATGTTTACAATTTCATCATGGAAAGATATACGCAAGAATAACGTTTATTCAATTTTATAATCAAAATCGTTCTCCAATTGCAACTTTTCGTGTGCTTTTGCCATTTTATGGTCGTTATGGTTATGGTGAGTGGTGCGGTAATTAAACAAAACTTTCGATTCTGGTGCGAAAAAACTCCAAGTTAATTGACAGTTTGGTGTCGTTCTTGATCTGGTTGAATCAGAGAACTTAGAAGAACGAGAAGGTGCAAATTGTATTTTGTATGATGCTCGATTGGACGGCAAACAGAGCTGAAAAATTGAGATCAAGGAGTTCATTTTCTGTAATATTTGCTGTTATTTAACAGAAATAAGAATTTATAACAACGTTCTCTGACAAAATACGTATTTACCAACATAAAGAAAAATTAAATACTTTGAACAAAATATACAAATGCCACTTGACATACAGTGAATCAATTAAGTTTAGGTACAGTAACAATTCGTACCAAAAATCGTTCAAACAACTTATTTCAACAAAAGTTAAAAAAAAACCGTTATGTACCTTCTTAGAACAGCATTCGCTGATCGTTACTGAGTGATTTTGTGGCGTAATCTATCTTGTGGCACTACTTAGACGCTGTGACTTAAAAAAGCAGCCAAAAATACTCAAAAAAGTTTAGGTACAGCTCATTCAGCGTATTATGTTTGTTGATTTTTTTGCGTTTGATTAATTTTTTTTTAATAATTTGTGTAAGCCGGAGAGAGAAATACACATAATCAAATGTAAAAACGTAGAAGTGTTAAAGCTTAGTGTAAAAGCTTAGTGTAGTAGCTGAAATAAAAAAAAATGGGCCGCGGCTTACAAATTTCGCTCGAAGTAAGGAAATTAATATTAAAATTATATTTGGAAAATAAAACTTTAAGTGAAATTGGCAACATAGTAGGGAAACGTCATTCAAGTGTTTATAACATTATAAAATCATATACAAATAACGGAGATCTAAATATAAAACTCAGATCAGACGGACCTAAAGCTTTGACACCCTCCAGAACATATATGCCATCGTTGCGGTTAAACGAATCGCGTATTTTAGCAGTAAATACGATAATATAAAGTCGATTAAAAATTTAAATCCTCAACTGTGGGGAATGCGCTGCTGACTGGTTTTATGGCCGAACTGCGCGTATATAAATTCATATCAAAGCAAATAAGAAACGATTAATTTGCTAAAGTATCTTGATAAGGCAGATTCGTTTGGGAGAATGTTATTCACCGACGAATCAAAATTCAAAATTTTGGGCGACGGAGAAATAAAAGTGTGAGGCGTGCCAATGCAGAGATGCAAGAAAATAACTGATACCTACAGTCAAACATGGTGGGGAAACATCATGGTTTGGGGATTATGGCTGCATCTGGCGTGGAATTTGAAGTTATTACAGATAAAATGGAAAATATATATATCTGAACATTTTGAAGGAAAATTTGCGTCAAGCGTGCAAAACTGGGTATCGACAGCACCGATTTCTTTTTCAGCAAGATAACGCCGAAAACACGTCGTACCTAGTCCGCAGATGGCTTTTATTCACTAGCAACATCCAAACACACCACAATCACCCGACTAATCCAAAGAGCACATATGATTTGTTAGAAAAAGGATTCGAAACACAATTTCCAAGGACACGTTAAAAGCCGCTATAGAGACGAATGGTCAAAATTACAAGTCTGACACTAATGTGCTATGTAAAAATGCCGTGGCGTTTCAAGCAAGAAATAAATAATAAAGCTAAAGGGGACCAACAAAGTATTAAAATATCATATTTTTCTGTATCATTATTTCTTAAATCACTTTCGTTTTGTACCAAAACTTTTTGACGTAAATTAAGGTTGGATTTTTGTTATTATATTTTTTGTTAATAAAAAGTTACTGATTTTGAAATAAACGCATTAAAATATATTACTTAGATATAAACAAAAATACCTTTTAATAATTTAAATAAAGAATTAGAGGTTTATTGGAGAAAATTTTATACCTTATAATTGATTCACTGTGAGCATGATTATTTTTGTCATATAAACGATTTTTATGATAAAAATTGATTAAATATAATTTTACACAAATACTACATTGATAAATGTAAATATGCAAAAATTATATTTTACTATTTCATAATTTTCTAATTTCAATTGTTACATAATTAATAATATGTATGTACTGTATGTACATCAATATGTTATATATTAATCACTTATCAATAAATACATCGCACTCTCTATATGTAAGTATGTATGTACAAATATGGTATGAAATTGCAAAATAAATGAAATACGCAAATCCACATATAGAATATATTATTACATATATGCAAATTGTAAGTATGTGAGCCAATGGGAAAATACAAAACAACAATTCTCTCAAATATGACGGCAGTAAAATCAGTATGGCACAATTGACAAATCACACAACAACAACATTTTCATTCATGAACTGGCCATATGCAATAAGCTAAGTCGTTTCATTCATAAAGCAGAATGTTGATGATATAGGAAAGAACAAATGTTAATAAAACTTTTAGTACTAATTTAATTCCAAGAGGAACATCGAAAAGTATAACTTCGAAAAGAAAATACACCACACAATATAATGCTATAAATAGACACACGAATATTCCTATATGAAAATCGTTGCATACCTATTTAGATTTATGTTTTCAATTTCTATGATAAACAAATTTATAATTATAAACCTTCTGAATTAAAATCTGTATTACCGTAAAACCCCAAATTCATAATAAAATAAACATTAATGGTATTTTTCCAACTTATGTATGTGCGTTATTGAGCATTGCTATTAAAATAAAATAAAACATGGCTAAGCGCCACATTTCTAGGGTGGCTGAGTCTTAAGCGGAAGGTTAACTCAATCGAATATGTGCCTATACGTTCGAATCCTAAAACGAATTTTATTTAATTTTTTTTTATTAATTGGAGTCTAAGCATATCATAATTCAATTTCTTTAAAGGATATTTACCAGATAATTAAAATATATCAGGAAAATATAATATGTTCATATGTTTAGGTTTATTGAATATTTCCTTATTTGCGTATTACAAATGTGATAATCACCATACATTTTAAATCACGCTGATGCTTGCTTCTTCTTGCCCACAAGCAATGACTTTTCTCCTTTTGCTTTTCAGTTGAATCGCAATAAAGGAGGATTAGGGCGCACCACATATATTATTTCAGATATATATTTTTTTATCGAATTTATTTAAAAACGATTATAATGAATTGTAGTGTTTTATATTCCTATTTTATTTATTTATAATTCATAATAAATCGGTATTTTCAATCAAATTAAGCACATAATAATATTTAAGATCTCCTCGTTAAAACGCCTCTGTATGGTGGCAAACAACGAAATAACGCGAGTTCGCGCAGACATTGTGCGACAAACATACTACATACATATATGCATGCTCGCATGTTGACACAATGTGTGAATTGTCCGGTTGACAATTGTTTGAATCCACAATTTTACGACATGTCGGTCTTATGTGTCTGCGTCCCGTGATTTGCTATTGAAAGTTGACTATCTTTTGAAATATTGCGATTGTGCTGCAGGTTTCTATGATCGTGTTAGATAAAATGAGCTAAATCGAAAACTAACATGAAACAATGATTAATAGCATTAAAGTCCTTAATAGTGTCATATTAAGAATATTTGTTCAATGAATTTTATAAATTTTTAATTTAATCCCTACATAGTGCATATGCAAAAATATAAATATTATTTAAACTCAGATAGGTCATTGCCAATTCTCCTTTCTGAAGGAACATCACAAAATTCTTCAATTTCTGATTTTAGCAAATGTTGTGAGAAGCAGTTGTGGGCAACTACAAATGCGAGGGGGATGGTAGGATTTTCAGTGTGGCTGTCAAATCTAAAATTTTCTCGTTTTACTCAATTTCATTCATTCATTCATTTTATAAACTTAGGCGAATTCATTTGAAAACAAATGTGGTTTACCAGGCACAGAAAATAACGCGCGCAGAGTTATGAACGAACGCACTTTGCTTTGAAGCAGACGCACGTTCTTATGAATGAATTTGTTGTCGTTTTAATATGAAACTTCGAATATGCGCGGTTCGCTTAAATATTATTGGCCGATGATGGTGCGTCTACGTTTTTGTCACTTGCGCGAATGTTTGATTTGCGAAGAACATATTAAGGACATACATATGTACATATGTGTACATATATGCAAATATATCGCCAATAATATTCAATCGAACTCGCGGTATTTTCTAAGTATTTCATATTGACAAAAATTCATTCAAAAGAACTGCGTCTGCTAAAGCAAATGCTCGTTCATACTTCGCCGCGCTATTTTTCTGTGCGCCTGGTAACCACTTTGGTTTTCATATAGAATTCCTACGCTATGCGAAATATGAAATAGTAAACGAGAAAATTCACTTTACAATTTGACCCACCACTGAAAATCCTCCTCGCATTTAGTATCCAAATTGCTCCTTGTTACTAAATAAGAATTGTGTCTGATTTCACTTCAGAAAGGAGAATGGCAACATGACCTATTAGCGAGTTTAAATAATATTTATATTTCATATTATCACTATATATGGCATTAAATTATAAAATATCAAATTGCATTAAATCATTAACTACTTCTATATATTCTACAATCCATAAGTACTTTATATGTTACTTATTATCATTTTTCATAGTTTTTCGATTGCCATTTTATCTAAATACGACGCTATGAAAATGCAGCCAGTAATCACATATTCAAAGAGAATATCAACTTCAATAGCAAACCACTGCAAAGGACAAACGAGACAACAGCCAATCGACATTTCGCAAAATTGTCGATTGAAACAATTTTGTCAACTCCACGACGATGCGAAAATTTGGCGTCAATGATGCGAGCTCGTTTGTATTATTATATAAATATTATGTTTGTCACAAAGTCGTCATTTGTTTTCAACAACACAATATCCCCAACTCGCGTTTTCGTTGCCCTGCCATACATAGGCGTGTCAAGTGAGGCTCATAATATATGATATGTTGAATTTGTATTGAAAATACTGTCATTTATGAATTATTTTCATTAATATAATTATATTATATATATATATATATATATATACCAATAAATTACCTATAATCGTTTTCAAACTGTCGATATATATATCTGAATAATTGTCCGCAATCCTTGGCTGCGATCGTTCAACTCAAACAAAAGCGTGAACAAAAGTCACTTCATGCAGGTAAAAATATATCAACATGCAATGTATTAGAAATATATATGTAATTATCCCCTGTTATATCTCTAATTAAGGAAATATTCAAAAACTAAACATATGAACATTATATTTTTCTGTTTAATTATCTAAGAGTAAATATATTAAAATTAGTTATGATGTTAGACTCCAATTAATAAATAAAAATTAAATAAAATTCTTTGAGACGCTTAGGCACTATTCAACCCTTCCACTTACATTAATAAAGTGTGGCCTACCGTTTTGTTATCCTTTTAAAGAAATGCTACTAACGCATACATAGTGGAAAAATAGCTTAAATTTTATTTTATAAATTTAGGTTTTATTAATACAGATTTTTAATTCAAGCCCATAATTATAAATTTATCATAAATTGAAAACATAAATCTAAATAGTATCGCAACATTTTCATATAAGACTAGTTGTGTCTATTATAACATTCGCATATTTGTATTTTTTTTGAAGTTATACTTTCTTTCCTCTGTGGAATTACAATTAGTACTCAAAAGTTTTCATTTAACATTTGCTCCTTCTCTACTCATCAACATTCTCTGACGTAGATGAATGAAGAGCAAATAATGTTATGTAAATGTTAATTACGATGAGGGAACATCAAAACGCAAAATTAAAAATAAATATCACCACACAATCAGGTACGCAACAAAACACCACTCTATAAGCAAAATTATATACTACATATCACAGATTTCTTTGATATCGCATAAAGAAAATTGAAATAATAAAACAAAGATATTGACTTCCGACAAGAAAA